GTTGGAGCGGCCCTGGCGGGAGCGCCGACTGCCCCGTGGCGCTCTGTCTTGGAGGCAGGCTGCAGCGGAGCTGCAAAGGACCATAGGACACTCCGTAGGCACACGCGATGCAGGTTCCTTTCGCTAGCCCCTCCTGCTTCCCAGCACTCGACGTGCCCAGCCACCTGCAAGCCGTGAGTGTCACACGTGGGCAGGGCCTTCCTGAGTCCCAGCAGCACTCACGACCTGACCCGGCAGGGCTTCCCTGGGGATGCAGGCTTGAGAGAAGCTGTGTGATTAGGCAGGGCTGGCCAGGCAAACAAAGGTGGGGCTTTGGAGTCACCATTCCAAAGCCAGCCCAGGGAGCAGGGACCACAGAGAAGGCATGTTAGTGGCCTTTGCAAAACGGGCCTACGTAAGCCAGTAGGAACTGGACCAGCAGCCACAGCCAGGGGGCCAATAGGTCCTGGGCAAGGTGGGGGGGGCATCTCCACACCCCCAGAAGGGTCAGCCAGCCCTTAGCACTGCCCAGGCCATGGTGCTTGAACCCCTCCCTTTGAATGGCCAGGCCCAGGGCACCTGCCCCCTTTGCCATCACTCCCCCTCCCGCTGGGCAGGCCTGGCCACATCTCTCACAACTAGCACCCCCGACCCCCTAAGGCATAGGTTCCCAAACTGGGGGGCACAGCTGGGGCAGGGGAGGATGGAGCATTCCAGGGAAACTTCAAAATGGCCACTTTAAAAGGGCAACACCTTCTCTGCTATTAAAAGGGCAACTTTTTTGTTGTTGTTGTTCAACAAGTTTTGCTACTTTTGGGGGTGGGAGGGCAAAAATCAAAAAGGGTCATGATGTCAAAAAGTTTGGGAACCACTGTGTTCAGGTAAGGGGCTAACTGTCATATAGGTGTGTGCTGGTGCCAAGCCTGGCAGGTCTTATCTCAACAAGGACAAGTCCAGGCACTTGCACACTCTAGCTGCAGACTGTTAAAGAGCTTTGGCCACACTGCTCTCACACCGAGATGGCACAGGCAGCCAGGCTGCCTTCAGTCGTTTTAGGCTGTCTGGAGAACTCCGGGGCTGCTGTGTTATTGGGACCCACTGCTGCCTGTCCATGCCATGCCTGTCCATGCCATGCCTAGACCCAGCGGGTTGGGAGGCAGCATGGCAGGGCAGCCTCTTGTAGCTTGCACGGCGCTCCATGAGCTCTCTTCTCAGACCGGCAAGAAGTTCACGGTAGCTGCAGGTGTGAGAGGCGGGATGCTGAACTAGCCTTTTCAAAGCACAGAGTGTGTGTGGGTTAAGGGGTTTCACTGAGGGCACGTCTAGAGTACATGGCTCCGAGGCATACCGGAGCAGTGGACCTAAACTGTTTTACATGGCTCCGTCGACAGAGCCATGTAGTCTAGACGTACCCTAAGTGTCTCTGTGTGAGCGTGAACCATGGAGAAGGCCCAGGCCTGGTGTCAGTGGCGAGGAGGTGCAGAGAGAGCCCCACAGCAAAGATCAAAGTCTAGGATTGCCAGGTGTCCAGTACGGGCCTGGACCATCTGGTATTTGCGGCCTCTGTCTGGTTTAAAAAAAAAAAAAAAACCCAGAAGATACTGGACGTGTAAAATGTCCAGTATTTTCTGCTTTTCTCAGATGGAAGGCCGCTTGGGACATTCTTCCCCTGTCGCATCTGGCAGGGG